TTTGCTTATTTTTCTTCTTGAGAACTCAGCATCAAACAGAATAAAAATGACCTTTGACAGGTCATTTCTGTAGCATTTCTGTAGCATGCAATGAAAGAAGTGATCCAAAAAAACCTCAATGTAAGAATGAGCACCTACTGAACTCAAAAGGAATGTTGGAAGTGGTTGGAAAACAACATTACATCTTGAAATCACGTATCTGTAGTATTTCTTTATTCTATGACCACACACGTAAGTCATCACAGCTGGTGTTTTTCAAAGCTGTACAACAGAGAAGAAACTACATAAGTCTTTTACCAAAGACTTCACTGTTCTAAAGCCTTAAATTTTACTTTCTGGAAATAAACATTCCCAATTTCATTTAAAAATATGCTTTTTTTGATTTTTTGTTGTTGTTTTCACATTGACATTCTACTTCTCTTCCAAGAAGCATTCTATGGGAGACGCAGAAAACTCTTGCTCACTGGTGGCATACTAAAAATTAATGTACACAACACATTCATCTGATAACCAGTTGGGAAAGTTGAAAATAACATGAGCACTTACATCAAGCAGCAAAAGCCTTCTAAAGAGCATGGTGCCCAACAGAACTCCAAACAAGCTATTATTTGCATGCAATACATATGGATATATTAGTCAACTGCTCTCTCCCAACCAAGTCACCTGGAGCCAGATTCCTCCTTCCTAGAGAGATTTTTTTAAATAACAGCAGCTGTGATATGCCTATGCCATTTGTTTTCCCTTTGCCTGGAGCAAACAATCACAGGGACTCTAACATAAGCAAATGAAGAAGGGAATGGGACACTACTTCTGTCAAGCCACCACACTGTCCAAATTCAGATGTCTCTCCTTAAACTGAAGTCATGTGAAACTGGGAGAGCTACAGCTTACAAAAAGGAAGGGTTCTAATCCCAGCTCCCCAAACCACACAATATTGCCCCTTCGCTGCACTTGTCATACACCAGTGAACAAAGCCAGCATGGTCAGCTGGAAAAAATCTGCTACTGCTTTTGTTGAGAAAATTTCTTGCAGGTTAGCAGCTGTAATCAGCTCAAAGAGATATTCACCAAGGTCCCAAGCCAAAACAAAATAGGCATCCATGGTGCATTCAGGTGAGATGTGGGGAAGAGTAGGACTCACGTTCCGACACTCCAGCTCCTCTAGGTGTTGTGTTGGCTTGCTCCATCTAAGGCAACTTCACTCAAAAGCTCTTCTCTGCCAATTTCCTCACTGAGAAGCTCAATAAAAATCCAAAATTACTGCTCTTTATCACAAGTCATAACCACGTGATTACCACTGTCATGAGTACCACTTACTGAATCTTTTCACAGATTCACAGAATATTTAAGGTTGGAAGGGACCTCTACAGATCATCTAGTCCAACCTTCCTGCTCAAGCAGGCACACCTACAGCATGTGGCACAGGGTGGCATCCAGGCGGGTTTTGAAGACCTCCACAGTAGGAGACTCCACAACCTCCCTGGGCAGCCTGTTCCACTGCTCTGTCACCCTAACAGTAAAGAAGTTGCTCCTCACCTGGAGACGGAACTTCTTGKGCTTCAGCTTGTGGCCATTACCCCTCGTCCTATCGCTAGCCACCAGTGAGAACAGCCTGTCCCCTTCCTCCCTGCATTCTCCCTTCCTGAACTTATACATATCATAACCCCTCTGAGCCTTCTCTTCTCCAGAGAAAACAGGCCCAGCTCACTCAGCCTCTCTTCATACGAGAGATGTTCCATTCCCTTAATCATCTTGGTTGCCCTTCTCTGGACCCTCTCCAGAAGCTCCACGTCCCTCCTATACTGGGGTGCCCAGAACTGAACACAGTACTCCAGGTGCGGCCTCACCAGAGCTGAGTAGAGGGGCAGAATCACCTCCCTTGACCTGCTGGCAACGCTCCTCCTGATGCAGGCCAGGATCCCATTGGCCTTCTTGGCCACGAGGGCACACTGCTCACTCATGGTTAACTTGGTGTCAACCAGGACTCCCAGGTCCCTCTCCGTGGAGGTGCTTTCCAGCAGGTCGACCCCTAATCTGTACTGATGCCTGGGGTTATTCCTCCCCAGGTGCAGGACCCCGCACTTGTCCTTATTGAACCTCATGAGGTTCCTCTCTGCCCAACTCTCCAGCCTGTCCAGGTCCCTCTGGATGGCAGCACAGCCCTCCGGAGTGTCGGCCACTCCACCCAGCTTGGTGTCATCCGCAAACTTGCTCAGGGTGCATTCTGTGCCCTCGTCCAGGTCATTGATAAACAAGTTGAACAGCACTGGGCCCAGCACTGACCCCTGGCGGACACCACTGGCCACAGGCCTCCAACTGGACTCGGCCCCATTTATCACCACCCTCTGAGCTCTGCCATCCAGCCAGCCCTCGATCCACCGCACCGTGCACTCGTCTAGTCCACTGTCCCGGAGCTTCCGTATGAGGATGTTATGGGAGACAGTGTCAAAAGCCTTGCTGAAGTCAAGGTAGACAATATCCACGGCTCTCCCCTCATCCAGCCAGCCTGTCATCCCATCATAGAAGGCTATGAGGTTCGTCAGACATGACTTCCCCTTGGTGAATCCATGCTGACTGCTCCTCAGCAGCTTCTTCTCTGCCATGTGCCCGGAGATTCTCTCTAGGATGAACCGCTCCATCACCTTTCCAGGGACAGAGGTGAGGCTGACCGGCCTGTAATTGCCCGGCTCCTCCCTCTTGCCCTTTTTGAAGACTGGAGTGACGTCGGCTCTCTTCCAGTCCTCGGGCACCTCCCCTGCTCTCCAGGACCTCTCAAAGATGATGGAGAGAGGCTGAGCAATAACCTCGGCCAGTTCCCTCAGCACTCTCGGGTGCATCCCATGTGGGCCCATAGATTTTTGAGTGTCCAGTTTGCCTAAGTGATCCCTAACCCAATCCTTCTCAACCCGCAGAAGGTCTTCCTCTAGCCCATTTACATCTCTTCCATTTGTGCTCTGCAGTTCATGGGGGGTCGTCTTAGCAGTAAAGACAGAGGCAAAGAAGGCATTTAGTAMCTCTGCCTTCTYRKCATCCTCCGTCACCAAGGCCCCTTCCCCATTCAGCAGTGCACTAACATTTTCCCTTGTCTTCCTCTTGCTATTGACATACTTATAGAAACCCTTCCTGTTGTCTCTGACTTGCCTCGCCAACTCTAATTCCACCCGGGCTTTGGCCTTCCTTGTTTCGCATCTGCAATCTCTGACAATGTGCCTGTATTCCTCCCACGTGGCCTGTCCCTTCTTCCACAAGCTGTACACCCTTTTTTTCTCACTCACTTTGCCCAGTTCCTTACTCACTCACTTTGCCAATTCCTTACCCATCCATACAGGTCTCCTGCCCCGCTTACTCGACTTCTTTTTTGTGGGGATCCTCCAAGCTCAGGATCGGTGTAAGTGGCGCTTGAATATCAGCCAGCTCTCCTGGACCCCCTTTCCTTCTAGGACCCTGACCCAGGGGACTGCTCCAAGGAGCTCCCTGAAGAGGTCGAAGTTGGCTCTCTTGAAGTCCAGGGTAGCTATTCTACTTCTCGCCCCATCTCCTCCACACCGGATCGTGAATTCCAACATCTCGTGGTCGCTGCAGCCCAGACTGCCCCCAACCCTCACATTTTCCACTAGACCATCTCTGTTTGTTAGTATCAGGTCTAGCAGCGCCCCTCCCCTTGTTGGCTCCTCAACCACCTGCGTCAGGAAGTTATCTGCAATGTTCTGCAGGAACCTCCTGGATTATATGTTCAGTAATGATATAAAAGAACACTTTAACTCTAATTATTACATAGAGGGGAAACAGATGGAAAAAATGTCTCACAAGCTGTGACTTACTTCTTACTAGTTAAACAATGATCACTTTCTGATACTCAGCTTTACCATCAGCAGTGCCAATTCTGTAAATCAGATACCAGAGTATGCATGTCTCATGTGAAATTCATCAGGTAAAGTTCAGCTCAAACCAAAGTACCAGCACAAGACACCAAGTCAGTCAGAGTAGGCAATATATAAGATGTTTTTTCTCCGAGTCCTTCTAACCAGAGGAGTTTCAACCTGCATAATTAATTAAATGGAAAATAGTAAACTAATCAGAATAGTTCAGTCACCTATGAAAATTCCAGGTAAATCATACAATTGATGATACTACACTTCCATCCAAGGAAACAAGCTTTTTTGTTTATTTGCACAATGTCATGTATTGCATGTTGTTTCTTTAAAAGAGGTTCTTCCTTTTATTTATATCAAGAAAAAAAAACCCGAAGATTTATTCCAAAAAAACTTGATAAAATTAGAATATGCATTAACATTTTAAAGAGAAATCTCATTCTGGTATATATTTAATCAATTAAAAATCAGAAACAAGTAAGGTATGAGCATTCTCCATACAAAGTACTTCTAATAGCATTATTCAAATAAAACTTCCTCAAGATAATAAAATACATAAAGAAAAAATAAAAGTTAACTGGTAATGTAACAAACATTCTATATTTTAAGGAAATGAACTTAACATACCTTTCATGTAGCCTTTTCAAAATTGGTAATTCACATGACCCCAAGAAAGCAGAATTTGTGGGGCACTCCATGGTTACAAACCCCCATTAGTACGTATTACTAAATGACAAGCCAGAGAGTAAATATATCTACAAATATAAGATTTTGCACTTTGTGCAAAAAATAGTCACACTGCATGCTTTTTAGCACTACTTGAAAGACAAAATGTCCCAAAAACTTCATGCAACCAAACTTATGTTTCATTGCAATATTATTTTTCCCTCAAGAGGTTTAACTTGATCCTTTGGTTGCTACTTACAATTGTATTACATTTATATATGAATAGCTAGTTTTCAATAGAAAACATTGTTTAAATACTGAATAAAAAAGTACATATTTTAACTTAACTTCTGGTTAATATATCATGTTCTTGTATCTACTGCACTGCCCCTCAAAAAATAAATCAAGAGAACAAAGAAAGGATAATTTATGAGTTGTCAAGAAGTCACATTTTAACACTTACTTTTGTGAAGATCTGAAAAAAGTCAATTGCAGGTGGCAGCTGAGACACATCCTGGATCTCCGCTTTCAAATACAGTTGCAACGTTTGTGCGAGGTGCCTGAGGCCTTCTCTCATTTCTTCACTTAGTTGTTCAGTATCTTAAGGGAAGCAAAAGTATACCCAGGTGTAAAAAGAAACTTTCACTAACATTGTGAATGTGTCCAGTGACAGCCATACATTCTAGACATTTCCAGCCCCAAAATTAATTTTGACAGAGGGCAATTCTGACAGAGGCCAAAAATTTGTCATTTTTTTGACAGCCACCTATCAACAAAAAGCAGAGTTTATGATGTTCCTACTGCCAAATTATATAAATACCATGGTGAATGAAAGATCAAAAGGCAATTGATAAAGCAGACATATGGCATTTCATACAAAATTTCATACAAAAATTAGGCTCTAGACCTGTAACATTAAAGAAAGTGTTCAAAAGGCCAAGCAGTAATTTGTTCCTCCTTGCAGCAGTGCATATTTTTATATTGCATCCTCCATAAAATGCATCTAAAACACTCTACTGGCAGAGGAAAAAGGAGGCAGTTTGAGAGACCAGAGAAGTTACATACACAGAAGCTGTAAAATAGAAAGGATATGAAGGAATATTAAATAAACACAATTTCTAGATTGAACAATAAAGCACCATTTTTCACGTGGAGAACCAGACCATGAAACACTTAAGCAAACAGAACACATGCAAGGCAACAGGAGCTGACAGAATACACCCAGAAGCTCATGGTGATCAGAAGAAGTGCCTGGGGACTAGAAGAAACCAGGTATCACTCTGATCTTCAAAAGGGGCAAGAGGGAAGATTTGGGAAGCTACAAGCCAATGAGCCTCACCTCAATCCCTGGGAAAATGACTTTAGGAACTAATCCTAAATGCTATTTCCAGATATGTGAAGAATAAGAAGGTGATCAAGAGTAGACAGCACGGATTCCCAAAAGGGAATCACCAACCAATCTTTAAACACTGATGAGATGACAGGCTTGGTAGATAAGGAGAAAGCAGTAAGTGTTGTTTACATTAAATTTAGTAAGGCTTTTCACACTATCTCCCATAATATCTTCACAGGCAAACTGATGAATTACAGACTAGATAGACTGAAGCACAGCAAGATAGACTGAAAACTGGCAAAACTGCCAGGCTTAGAAGGCTGTGATTAGTAGCACGAAGCCCAGCTGCAGACCAGTCAGTAGTGGGCTTCCCCAGAGGTTGGCACCAGGGCTAATCTCAATGAATAGGAGAGAGACATGAATGTAGTCTTTGTGAATTGTAGTGTTCTCTCCATTTTCTTGAGGCTATTACAAAGCTTTGTGCAAAAAGATATAAATAATGATTTTTTTAAATAAGAGTTTTACTTAATTTGAAATTGTATGCAATAAAGCAGTAATCAGTAAACTTTAGATCCTAAACAGGTTAAGATGTATGCTGCAGTGAAGAAAGCATTAGAACAGACATGTACACTTCGCTTGGAAAAAATCTTTTTGCCTTGATCTATGAAAAAAATGTTCTTCCTATAATTGTTTTCATAGTTTCATTTTTGTATTGCCTTTTTCACGTCACATCCTAATATTCTGCACAGCAAGATTTCAGATGGCAAATTACAAGAAAATTGAATGATCTTTGGACCATTCAGACTTTGTAACCATTCCTGAAGTATGGATGGCAATTACTTACTAGATTGAAGATCAGAAAAGGAGTAAAGTTTCTCAGAAAGGCATACAGATTGCCTAAGCTGGAAGAAAAAACAAAAGATAATTAACATTCACATAGCATCATTTATCTTAAAAACATTCTATGGTACTGAATTATTCAATGGGATATGTCAATAAGGAAATAGGTAAGACTAGTAGCATCAACATAAATCTGTTCTTTTACTTTGTTGTTTTTACATATGTTCTATAAACTTACAATATTAATTATATCTTGTTACAACACATTCTTCTAACGTATTTTCTTGACCTTTCTTATCCATAGCAATTTACATTGGCCCCTCACACTGTAACCAAAAGCAATTTCTAAAATTAGCAGCCTCAGATTTTGTGTGACTATGATTAATATACATAAATATATAGTGTAGTCTACGTGTTTGCCCTTTAAAACAATTGTATAAATTAAGATATTAAACCATGTTTTATCATCTCAACACACAACAAATGAACATATTTTTGTTCAAAACAGACAGGAATATGCAAGGTCATTTAAAAAAAGGTAAACCTTTTATATTTGCAACCTCAAAGGCATGAGCTGCTTACCTTAAGTATGCTGTTAGGTTAAATTAAGTAAATTATGGTATGTCACACATCCAGGACTTCCAAGAGATTTTAAGGAAAAATATATATATTATATAAATGTGTATATTTTATATATAAATAAAATATATAACTATATAAATATTATATATTATATATAATATTGCATAAACTTATGCACACTATTATGTAATATATAATGCTATATATTATTGTAGATTATATAATAGATAATTATATATTATATATATTTCTAATTATATATAATAATAAATCTTATTTATATATATATTACATAAAACTGTTACTAAGCCCTAAGGAAAGAGCTAGCTGACTGAGTTTTCTCTTCACCATATCTTTCCAATTTTCATTACTTGAGGCTGAAAAAAAACAGTGTGTCTTTCACTAATTTGTTTCCAGGCAGAAAAGAAATTAGGAAACTACCACACAGTCACAGGGAAAGAAACCTCATAAACAAGCACATTTTAATTTTGTCCATGTTAGTATTCTAGATGGATATTATAATACAGGTCCAATTTTGTTGATCAACCCTAGTTATTTCTGCTTTCTAGTTGTTAATTACATTAAAAATATACAGAATTATTTCCCTGAAGCTGTGACACTGCATTCAACTAATGAAAGTGTCACTTACCAGTTTAAAAACAATCCTGCCAGCAAGTCTGACTGAGTCTGGAGGAAAATTGGGCTCGATGCTCTTAAGACACTTGCATTCCTGCTTGTGGTCCTGCCAAGCTTCTTTCTAAGGGGTTTTTAAAAGGAAGAGAAAAAAAGAATTTTTTTTACTAGCATATGTTCTAATGAGATGCAAATACACATGCATACATGTGTATTGCATGCACATATGGAATATATTCTCCCTTTCTGGCCCTTTCTAGCCAAAAGGTGAACAGTCATGAAAAGATTGCAAGATCAAGAAAAGGGTATGGAGAAACATGGTCTGCAAAGATGGAACGAAATCTGTACACAACAGTGGAAGGGATATCTTCATTTATTACAGTCTGTTACTGCAATATATATATATATTTACCTTTATGAAATAAACTATAAATAATACCATAGCTTAGTTTACCTTGCCATACCATTACAGTACACTTAGATTTTCAATAAATAATCAATTGGGACCTGAATCTTTAAGGATCGCAAGAAGAGACCAAGCTCTATCTCAGATCTGCAAAAATACACAACTCTCAAGGCAACAGTTTACCCAGAATTTGAGAGCAGAGAGGCCTGCAGAGCCCTCCCACTTCCTCACAATGTCGCTCACCAAGAGAAACAAGTTTCCCCGCACTGTAAAAACTGCCTCCCAAAGAGCTCTTAAGCGTTAGCAGTCACTGCTGGAAGGACTGGTGATGAGATGTCCAAAGCTTAAAGCTGAGGAATGGTTGCTGTGACCAAAATTCATAAAATAAGAAAGAGGAATCAGAAATATTAAAGTTTTGTGTCATACTTGAACCTGCAATTTTTATTTCACAAACCACTTCAATGTGGGTACCAGACACTAAGTAACACTTTCATAGCAGCAAAAAGAGGGCATGACAAGGTGGGAAAGAGCTGTTGCATGCTGAAACAGATCCCTAGTCAAAATACACAGAAAAGCAACAAGAATGAGTCTTCAGCTAAGGAAAAAAGTCATTTTAGAAGGAAGTCTACTGCTGATTAAAGTGTTTGGTTTTGGTTGGTCTGTCTGTTTTTCCCCCTTCTGCATTTACAAGTCCCCTTTCTTTATATAATTTATAATACTTTCTAATTCACAGATACTCCAAGCAGAATTAATGTTAATGAATCTTCATATATTTCATACATATATCTATACATTTAATACATATATTCACAATAAGTGTTTGAAGCCACTGAGCTATTTCAAATACTTTTTTAAAGCAAATTGAAAAAAAAGACACAAAAATAAATTGCTGCAATGACAAGAACTCAGAACAGCCAAAGCCTTCTGAAGGTGACAATTTCTCACAGAAATGCAATAGGATAAAAACAAGTAACTGAGAAAAACAGCTTCCCTGAAATAACTGCCATACACCAAATGATAGTGTGTCCAATATGAAGCAGGTCTTGTATGTTCAACAATAAAAGGAGAAAAAAGACAGTATCATGTGCAAATGTACATCATAACTGCAAACAGGTAAATGCTAGTTACAAAGATTTTTAAAACTGTATTATAGCCTTTACAAAAGAAAAAAGCTGTATTGGACTAAGGAAGCTGCACAACTAGTAGCACTTTTATGTCTTGGTGGTTTTGTTGGCTTGTATATAGTAAATAAATTGTAATTTTCTTTTTTCTTTCATATGCATGGGAGATTTGTGATTTCATTTCCTTTACCCATAACTTAACTAGCGGAGAAGAATGACACCAAGAATGCATTAATCCAAATACTGTTAGTGTCACATACTGTCTTACAAATAAACATTAAGTATCTACTGCTGAATAGGATTATTCCTGTCCGTAAGAAACAAGGTCACGCTTGTAAATGTCCAGGCATCGTTCTGTGTAATATAATTACATTGACATTTTTATCCCACTTAACCTAAAATTGTTCTTGGAGGTGAGCCTTTATCTGTCTTTTTTTTTTTCCCCCTTACATAAATGTTGCAGTGAATTTTAAGCCTACTGAAGGTGACATGAAAATGATTAATAGCTTACCCAACCAATAAAACACTAATGAGATGAAATATGTGGTATTGCATAGTAAAATGTGCCACATTTCTTAGAGATGTATTTCCATAACAGAACAATGTTTAGATCATAAGCTTTCTTAAAAATAGTGCTTAGATTGAAGTTGATGCCAGACAGGAATTAGGAGGATTCCTTTGCTGAAGGAAGGCTGGAACAGGAATTGCCGTTCAGATCTCTGCAAGTGGCTGGGGCAAAGGAAACTCCAAGTGTACTAAATATAATGAAATTCAAAAATATTTCTTCTTGCTATACCGATACAAGAAGGATGCAAATTACTGAACCACATGCAAGCTAAGATTTGTGGCACTGGAATGACCTTTAAGTTAGTCTCTAGCAGTACTTCTTGGTGGGATTATATTAGCGCCACAGTTCTGCATGGGAGCAATGTTCTTAGCCCTGCATGTCACAGCTTTCAGTCCAAGTTTTTATACCAATATCCAGTATAAATACATATATAGCATAGACTAGACTGTTTTCCTTCGGGACTCCTCTCTTTCTCGGTCAGAAGAAAATACAGGGCAGAACCCAATGCTCCTCCTCCAGACTTCAGAAATAGCAAATAAAAAAAACAGAAATAACAAAACAAGTAAACAACAACACAAAACAAAAGCCTCTTTTCATCTCGGCCCATTTTTTTTTTTTCCCCTCTCTCCATTCAAGTTCAATGTATCTGAATGCTAATTCCTAAGGAACAAAAGGTCACTGCTGACTGCTGACACAGCTTAGAAACTACTGCAGTAGACAGCAGCTTATAGGTGCCAGGCAGTGCCCCATCCCACAGCAGCACGCAGGCACCAGGGCACCCCTGCATTACTTGGCACCACAGTCCCACGAGCTGTCACCTCATGGGGGCTCAGGGCTTGGGTAGAAACCACTTGCATCTGCCTGGAAGGGCTTACATGTTTCTGGATGAGTTTTGTCAAATATCCCCTAGTCCAATGTTCACAAAATTAAGGTTTCCCTCATCTCTTATGCAGCATCAAAAAAACATGAAATGCTTCCTCAAGATTGATGTGCTAATGAAAAGAGTCAAAGATTGGGGCTCAGCAGCAGCAACACTGAAGTGGTGATTTTTTTCCATTGGGAAGTGCCACTTAGTTATGAAGACAATTCATAATTTCCAAATGATCATTTAAATTGTTACAAAACATCATTTGGATTTTTTTTAATGGAGGCATTTCAGTGATGTCTGTAAGCTTCATCTGAAATGATTCTCTCATTTGTCAGGGATTATCTAAGCTACTGGTTCCCAAAGCAGGTTGAAGCAGCACAGGCCCAAGCTAATAAGCACTGCCAGAGGAGATCACAACAGAGGTTAAGAGGAGGAGAGAGATGTGGCAGATCCATAGCTTCAGGGGGATACAAGGCTGCTAACAAACAGCACTAGGAAATAAGGGACAGTAGGCATCAGCAGGCGGCAAAGGAGCTGCAGCAGAGAAGCACAAGTGATGGCAAAAGAAAAACAGTCTGTGAGGTCCAATTTAAGAAACAGAAGCAAAAGACTTGGTGTACTTGATCCTGAAATCAGGATTCAGTGGAGGGCTTCTGGCAGAAGGATCTCTTGATACAGGTTCCTGTCCTACAGCTCTAATCCTTTTCTGAAATTAAAGGGTTAAAAGTGAAAGCAACTTGCCTCAGCTGGCATGAAAAAAGATCATAGGAAATTCTGAAATCTGACACAGTTCATTTGAAGATTTTAATTTTGACATCATATGGAGATTACTACAAACCAGAAATTCTAATTCCCATATAGTTTTATTCAGGATTCCTTGTTCTACTCACCTATTTTCTCAAAAACTAGTAATTCTCAATGCAAGCTCCATAAAGAGAAATATCTTTCCAAAATACTGTCTTCCTCTATAGCTTAGCACAAACAATTTTTCATAATTAATTGAAAATTTAAAGTGAAGTTTTTATCTAAAGCTTTAAGAATGATTCCTTTTCGGTACCTTGAAGTTTAGTACTTTGGAACTTTATCCTAAACCACAGCTCAGCTCCTCTCAGACTGATCCAACACTTTTTTTTTTTTTTTTTGAGGGTGATGGTGGTTTTTAAAAAAATAAAACCCTTCAAAGTCTTTAATTTCTAAGTTGCTCTGTATTTATGAACCCAAAATCATCATGCTGTGCTAATATTCACCTTTGAAAATGTGCGAAGTTATTTGATTCAATATCCAACTGTTTATTTTGTTCAGCAATTATTTCAATTATAAGTGCCTGTATTAATGTGCTGCACTGAAGACACAGAGAGGCCACATAAATTCTAAAGCTTTTAAACTTGATGAAGAACTTTGCTCACAACTGCTGTAAGAACAGAGCAGCAAAGCAGTTCTGATTATCAAAAGAAATGTCTGCCTACTACTACACAGACTTACAACAGCATACACCCCTCTAGAAACATGCACAACATGTGAGTGCACTTGGCTTCCAGCAGCACAAACTCACCTCACCGAGATCAGTGCCTGCAACTCTGGATGAAGGGAAACTCAAACAGGCAAGACGAGGACCACAGAGCTGGAGGCAGTGCAAGACACCCAGCACGGCCTCAGGCAAATCCCTAAAGTGTTCATGCAGAGCTATTTCCAGCAACATTCCTAAATCCTAGCTTCACTGCTACTGCACATTAACCTGAACAGGGTACTGCATTATTCCTTCAGACTTTCCTGTGCTGGCACTGACCAGCACAGAGTGCTGTGCAGTATCTCATTTTACAGTGTAAACACAACACCAGCAGCTTTACCACCAGCTCCCTTGAGAAGTATTTGTTTTAAACTTGATTCCAAGATACTGTCATCTTTTATGTTCTTCAAAGTCATACTTTCCTTACTATTTTACATAATAAATCTACCTATGGCATTATTATTGATGCTACAGTAAGTACCTAATGTACATTGTACACATTTGCCATACAATTAATCAAAATGACATATTTTCTCTTTCCTCCTCCATATGTTTTAATCCCAAAACAGAAAGGCTTTGGCATGCTGAAAACAGCACAGATTATAGTAAGGAGGAATTGCTTATAGAAGCACATAACAAATAAAAAGAGGATTTAAAGATCGATAAGACTACCTGAAATCACATGGATTTTAAAAAGCATCACTACTAGCCTGCTTTGAACTTTAGTAGCTTTTCTTCATTATTCTCAAGTTTTTCCTCTATGTACAGAAAGGGTCTCTGAGGCGACCCTCATGGCTGGAATCTCAGATGTCCGATCTCCTGCAGCCTAAAACCTTATGCAGACGTTTAGTCCTGCAGGAGGTTATTGCTCCCTTTCAGTTGTGCCATCTTCCATACACCTACACAAGGGATAATGCAGGTCAAATACAAAACTTAGATTTTAGGACCAAATGCCTTTAAGCACTATCTCATGGACAGATCATGGGACCACGTAGGCTAGGAGGGACCTGAAATCCTGCAAAGAAGCAACTGCACCACTTCTCTGGGCAGCCTGTTCCATTGCTTGGCTGTGAAAAAGCTCCTCATCCAGGTATCTTGTTGCAACTTATGCATGTTGTCCCTTGTCCCCCTGCCGTGCACCACTCTGAAGAGCCTGGTTCCATCTTATCACCTTCTTTGTAGATACTGGGGCTGCTGTTAGTTTGTCCTAAGGCCTTCTTTACTCAGCAAATTCTTGAATCCTATTTCTTCTTAGAGAACTAGGTTATATGCTTTGCCATGATAAACCTCAGTCTTGAAATATGAGATATTTTACTACACAGTTGGCTTGCAACCTTCAGTCTACAATCAGCAATACTAAAGATCCTTTTTTACTCCTCTAATCAAACATAATAAAACGCTAAATACTTCAACTTAATGTTGTCTTTTATCTTACATATCATAATCATCTTTATAAAAACAATCAAAAATTTAAAAGAGGTAACATGCTTGCACTCTCTATCTATAGCCACAAATAAAAAACTGCGATGTGGAGGTATGACAATGAGAAAAATGCATGAAGACCTTGTAAATAAAGTATTCAAATGCCTGTTTTTCTTCAGTATATTATGCCTGTTATTTTTTCATCTTACCTGACAGGATTTACCACAGTATCTAGCAACTTTGCACTGAGAGCATCTGTGCAGGTGTTCATTCCTGTTAAAAAAAAAAGTATAAAGTTGTGCATTCATCCTTCTTGTATAACTAACAAATATTAAACAGGCAAATATCTGAAAGAGTAATCTGAAACTTAATGGCAAGTAGAAAAAACATATTGCATACAAGGGTACATTCTCAGTTCTCACATGACTAGAGTACAACAGCAGCCTCTTTGCATCAACAGTAAAGGCATCCAACAGGCTTTTTTTGACCATACAGCTATAACACTGAGGAATTTGTTTTTATAGATAATAATAGAATTACAACCGTGTGATACAGCTAGCTAATACTTTTATTATCTGTCTTAAGCAAGTATCATTATCTGTCTTAAGCAAGACCTCGCTGTGAACTTGCAAATTGTGACATCAAAATATAACTTCATAATAGAGCCTGAAGTTGACATCACAGCAGAAATGTCCATCTTAGAAAAATACTTCTGACCTTGCTCAAGTACAGCACCCCACTGCGTGCACAGGCAGCCAAATGCGGCTCGGTCACCTCGAGGAAATGCCATCGCATCCTGCCTACACGATACTCTCAAGCACCCCTTCCTCAGTCCTTTGCAAAGGATGGGAGGGAAGGGACGTGTGTCAGATGCATACACACCAATAAACACATTGTTATTATATCTTATTTTCAGCAGCACAAAAAAAGGTCATTGCAAATATTAACTCAGCTTCTGAAATACTCCTGAAATAACCACAAGTGTAGCATAGCCCATTTCAAACTGAAAGGGCAAGCTCAAATTTTCAGTTTGAAGACTTTCTTCCCCAAGATTCCTGTGGCTTCTCATTGGTACTACGCACACCCTTCTCACTCTCAGCCTCAATGGAAATCGATGCAACTAAAACAGTGCAATACTGTCTCTGCTGATGCAGAAATTTCTTCATTCTTCAGTGGTTTAAAGCTGCTTTATCACTGAACCACCCTTTCTTTTTAAATATCTCAGTTATCCCCAGTTTTAATTTCTATGTGCATTTTAGATTAGGACCTTCAGCATCTCGTCTGAACTGCCGACTGATTTGGTTATCAGTCACCTACTGTACTGCAGAATGACTGAGCAAAACATTTTGAAGACGCTTTGTTCTATGTGATAAGCATCACAATTTACAATTTCAGTCACGTACCTGTTAAAGCAGTAAAAAGCCACAGCATTAACAATAGCAAATTCACAGATTCCAAAGTATACAACAACAACAACCATCACTCAAAACTTGATTTATTTGCTAAACTGACATTACCAGTCAGCTTATTTCAATAAGGTGACTCCCTGCTGGCACTGCATAATGCAGGATCTGCACATCCATCTTTGGGAGCTTCTCTGAATGACGAGCAGATGTAGGATACCTGCTGCACGGCTGAACGGCAAAGCTACTGATCCCATCTCCCTTGATCTTCTCCTCCCTCCTGACCCTCCTGGTTTTACATTTCAGCACCCATCATTCTTGCAATAGAGCAGTTTACATGCAGAAACAGCATGAGCCCAAGCACTTAACCAGCATATAAAGAACTCAGAATTCATGCATTCCTATATAGCGGACCCATGTATTTTGGAACATTCTTACATGTGAGACAATTCTCCTAGCTCATTCCTATCTTTCCCAACATTTCATTAACACTAATTCACTAAAACTCCAAGCATTTCCATGATATTTCCACAAATTTTTCATTAACTGCAAATATCCTTTGGAAAAACATAATCGAGGGTAGACAGAGAACCCCAACGGCAGCTCATCTAACATGATTAGCTTCAGGGCTGATAAAAAACAGAATTTGAATGAACACATTGAGTAATAATATCTCAATCTCCAAAAAGGTTTCTGCCGCAAAAATAGATGAAATTAAGATACAGCAACTTATAATAAATTGTTAGTTACATGATACAGCTTCAATGACATTTGCCATCTCTGAAGTCCTTTTCACATGCAAGCACAAGTAAGGATTTTGGTGTACTTTTTAAAAAAACCCACAGCAATAAAGTAAGAGGGAGCTGCCAGTTGCCCTCCAGTGTGGTATTGCTGTTGGGTGCAGAACCCACCCTGAGGAATTTGGATACTAGTAATTATTTTCATTATTATTGGCTACAAGCTCCACTGACATGGTGGGTATCCAAAGTACACACAGTTGGGGAGTCCAGGATAGGAAGCCCCAAAAAGATGGATGTGGAAAGAGATAAAAACCTTCAGAAAGAAGTAACAGATAAGGATGTATGAAGTGATGCACATGTGAGCAAAAGTACTTTTGGGAAAGGCTTCCTCCATTTTTCTCCCCCTCTGGCACACCTTTTTGGTAGCAGCAGAGCCTTTTAGGAAGGCATTGAAGAAGAGCAGAGCACAGGTAGGTCCTTCCCACACAGCCTGCTCACGCGCCAGCTCCTGCACAGCCCATGGGGCAGCGGGGCCGTCTCGTGCCAGTTCCCTGCTGGATGCCTCGTTGATGCTGCTTCTTCCCCAATCGGTAACAACCCAGCCCCACAGCACCCGCAAGAGGAGCCACTTGCTCTCCCAGACGTGCCTCACATCCAGCCCATGTCCCAAAGAAATCCCTAGGCCTGTGAGATTCAAACATGGCACGTGCATGAAGCCTATCCAGCATTTTGAAACGCAGGTGTTGGAGACCTGCCACGAAGGGAGAACAATCAATACCCCAAAGAGCAACCATATGACTTGGAGCTTTACTGGTCTATTTCTCATAACAGAGACCCTAGGAACATGGTGCTTTTAACACAGCACCTGCGAGCAGATAAACCCAAGTGCAGCTTCGCCATCTCACCCTTTCCCTCCAGGAGAGGGGTGTCTGGCACTGCTGGCATCCCCAATGGCACCACGGGCTTCCCAAGCAACACCACGGCTCCCCGTGCACATGGGCACCCTCCACCCTGCCAGGAGGTCAGACCTCTAGCACCGTCAGCTCCGACCACACAAACCCTGGGCCTGCAGCCCTGGGCACAGGGGCCTCATCCCACTGTCAGTGCCAAGTCCTCTCAGCCCTTTACACCCGGTGCTGTGAGCTGGTAAAAAACAGGTGGAAAATACAGATTAAAACTCAGTAGGCCTGTACAGGAGCTTCCATCCAAAACAGGCTTCAAAGGGAGCCCACGTATCTGCAGCCTTTGAAAGAAAGCCACCAGGCTTATCAGCTGCCAGGTCGGTATTTACACTGCCGCTTAGCTCCAACTTAATCCTTGGAGTTTAAGAGGAAAGAGTACAAAGCTAAGAAACCTTGAAGTTGGACAAAAATCTCCCATATTCTTCATCTGCACTACACTGTGTTTAAAAAGTTACAAGAATTAATCTTTTTTCCTGCAGCAGCAGCACTCAGGAGAAGTAGCTTTTGAAGAGCTGCAGGAACACCAAAAATAGGGAGTTAAAAAGTAATAACTGAAGTTAACTATCAGAAATCTGAGTCACTTTTTTCAAGTGAGACCTAAGATAAAGATTTTTTAATATAAAAAACCCTTTTCAATTCCCAAATATAACACTATCCCCTTTATATTTATGATACAATAGTGGTACTGCATTATCCAGAGAAGGTAGGAGAACATGAATGACCAAAACAGCTTGGCCCATGGGGAAAGCTCAGTTGTTCTCCCAAGCTGAGCACCTACCAAACACAAAAATATAGCTTATTCAGCACGTTATTTCATAATTCAAGATTTTTGCTTCTTAAGTCTCCTGTGCCACTTGATGATTTAGCTCACTGCTAAACTTAGCTCACTGAAATTCTGGAATTGCTATTACATCTCCTTCGTATGTAATACTCTAAAACCTTTTTAGATACACCGTATAAGAAGGGATGCAATTCAAATAAATTAAGGAAGAAAGAGTGAATCCTCCTCTTTTGTGGACCTCAACTCTGTTCATATTTTATAACCATCCTCGCTATACAGCCTGGTATTATCTATACTTGCTTTATAAACACATACACTGAATGGTAATGAACATGCTGAGTCACAGTACTTTAGCTGACAGGAAGGGCAGTATTTTCTAATCTTATTTTGTATTGGGTATTACCTCCTGTATTTCTTCCTGCATATTTGTTCCTCTGAAGAATACCTGTTCTGGAAATTATGAAAAATATTTTTCTAATCAAAACTTTGTTGTATTCTCCCATCACTTCTCCATTTCAGTATCATCTTCTCTTATACAACTTATATTGATTTCCTCCCCCCCCCCTTCTTTTGGGGGGTTGAAAGAGATAGGGCTCAAGGCAGGCTAGAAAAACAGCAAGTAGAAGACAACCATATTGCAGATTTTCATTTATTCTTATGCAGCAACCAGTCTCTGTGTTGATGCAGTGACAGTAGAATTACCGAGTTCTGATAAGATTTTTTTTCTTTTTCAAGAACTTCTTTACATTATTATGAAATAAAATCTTTACAAATATTCCTACGTTCACAGAATGGTACAAAACTCTCTGCTGAAATTGAACAGTTATCTAGAGTCACAAATAGAAGATTCTCCTTCAGCTAAACTGAAAAAAAAAAAAAAATTAGTTTTCTGAAAATGCAGCTTTTGGAAGTGCCATATGTATTCGGATAAAACCAAGAATAGAAAATACATGACTCTGCACTGAACTGGTAATTGATAGAAGTTTCAGATGCAGGGCTTTCCAATGACACCAGAAAAGGAATAAGAAAAATACTTAACAATATGGTCCAACAGGCAAGAAATTTGTTCTTAGCTTTTCATCAGATTTAGACTTACTCATTCAGTATTAACTTCTGGTCCTAACCTGCAGGGAAACAGGAAGAAAACAAGTGCTGTCTCCAAGAGCCATATCAGTAGCAGGAGGCCACATTCTAGCCTTTTACGTGAAAAATGCAGTTCAAGAGAAGCACTCAGTAGCTTAATAAATTTTAGGTGGGAAGACAGATTGCCTTTAGAATAAAGCATCACCAACCTTTAAATAGATATCTAGATAGATAGCTATACACAGGCACACTTTATCTCCATGTAGGGTGAATAAAACAAACGCTATCACAGAAATCAATAACT